CCCCCCCCCCCCCCCCACTCCCGCCCAAATCCCCCCCTCCCTCTTTGGCCGCCTGCCCTGGCCCGGCCAGGTTTGCAAGTGTTGGTGTCTCCAAGCGTGGGTTTACGGTTCAGTGTAACTTCGGGGATTGGCTTTGCGACCATCCAGGGGTCCCAAGCCCTCAACCAACGCACCCTGAAAACCAACTTAACAAACTCAGGCCCAAACCCTGCATGCCTCGGTGCTGTCCGGACAATCTCATACCCCAGCACTTTTCGTGACACCCACCCTACCCGCAGCCCGCCCACCCCGCCAACCCCCAACTTGCGCCAAACCCCGGTGGTAACGTAAAATCTAGTGGCAAACAAAAGGGTCCCCAAACCGCATAGCCTTAAGGTTAAGGTTTGGTGGAGCAGAACGGAGAACCCCCCCCCCCCCCCGAAATTTAGCCTAAACTGCAAACACCACGGGACGGGCAGCCTGTCAGAGCTTTGGGCCACCAGTGGATCTCCCAAAAAAGACCCAGGCCCCCAACCTTACGGACAAGGCAAACTCAACCCCAAATCAAGGCAGACCCAACACACCCAAAGCCGTAAAGGTGTTAGTTCTAGGGCTTATAAGGGCGAAACAGTTCAAGGGCTGGGCCACTAATCTATACCCGGGGGTTGGAGGGGGGGGAAGGTGGCGGGGGTGCCCGTGACGGTTGCGGCTGGGGCTGGATGTGGCCGAGCACCAGAAGAAACGGTGAGAGTTTGTGGTCTGAAAGTGGGTGCGGTCAAAATGTGCGGTCATTTGGGAACTTTGGAGGGTGGCCCAAAGTTGAACCAAATAGCTAACAGCGGAGAGGGGTAGAGAAGAGAAGACAGCAACCGAGGAAGCCGAGCAACCAAATAGCAACCGGGAAGGGGACATGGAGAGTAACCTGAGGAACCAAATAGCAATTGCCAACACAAAGGTGCCAGTTGACGCGGTCCTTTTGCTCTCTTGCCTACACAAGGTGCTAATTGGATGTGCTCCTTTTGTCCTCTTTCCAAATCAAGGCTGCTAGTTGGGCACGCTCCCTTCGCTCTCTTGCCAGGAGCAAGCTGCTGATAGGATGCTAGGGTGTTTCTTTCAGAATTTTGGCAATTTATTTCTTTTGGTGCTTCGTACTTTCTGTTTGAACGTTTTGAAAGAGCCTTTGCGAGACCTAGGGTGTTTGTGGCGACCCCGCAAGCCAGCCTATCCGCAGTTAACATATCTTACGCGCTTCTGTACGAGTGGCACGAGTGGAGCGCAACGGTCGGAGCGAGTGGAAGAACTGGAACGACTGGAACGGTCGGAGCGAGTGGAACGATTGGAACATACGGATTAGCGCCCCCCCCCCCTCCGCCATTGCCGACACTCTACGGCCATATTCACATATATTTAATATGTATGTGTACACACACACATATATATATATATGTATGTATATTATGTGTGTGTGTCTATATTTGTTTAACTATCTAAATAGACACTTGTTGGTCTATACCTTCATTTCCTGATGAATCTATAGTGTTTATCCAGTTCTTTGAGTATTCATACTTTTGGTGCATGGTATAATGCATGATATACTAGATGTTGCTGACTGTCTATTATATTTCCTGGTTATGTTTGCACAAGTTGTATCGCATATCATGCCCATAGGGTAGCATACATAAGCGCGAGTTTCTGTAGCAAAGCGTGGGTGCGGCTCCTGCAAGATGCGTGATGGCATTTGATAAGAGCAAGTGCCGCAGTTACACTGCCAGATTGCAGCCCCAATGTCAAGTGATTTGGCTAAGTCTTACTTTATTTTGAAGTCATTAGCATGAACACAGCGAATGAGTCGTTGGGACAATGGAGGGACAGCTGGGGAAGCGTGCCTGGGCTGTTGCATGCTTTCTGGCTGTCATCCACAGAGTCCAGATGCGACAAGTCATAATGCTAATGCATGGTACGCTCAGATGAGAAAGGAAGCAATAGAAATAACAAAATAATCATATTATATATGTATATATATATATAATTTTGGTCAGCAGACTTGGGCAGAGGAGACGGGGCCTGAACCCTTGGCACTTGCAGTGCCCTATTGGTGTTTCTCGGCTGGGTGCAACAGAAGAGATGTGTAGAACTGCAGAACCGTACAGTACTCTGAAAGCCTTTGGCCTTGGGAGACGTTGTCGTGCTCTACTGACTTCGCTCAGCGAGTTCTTAATTACATCCCAGTCTCCGAATGGAGCCGGGAACCCTCTGGAGCAGCTCCAGAGTGCGAGAGGCCGGGCGCAAAAGAAGGCTTCAGCACAATGGCTAGATAGATATGGTAAGGGTTCCGTTTGAGGGTTCTTGTAATGGTTCTAAGAGGGTTCTATAGTGTCGTTGTCTTGGTGGGAAACATGCCATGACCTTCTGCACGAAGAACGCCTCTGTGTGCCGTTAGCGGCTTTTTCGGGCCTTCGCCAGGCCTAAGGCCCTAGATTCCACTCGGCGCCTAGAGCCTAGAGGGCCTAGATCGCCCTGGTGCTGAAGGCGGGCTGGGAAAACGCCGCATGCTCTATCATGATGTAACATGTAATGCCACTGGGAGAAGCTAGAAGAAGCTAGTGATGCGAAGAAGTACATTAACGAGTGGCTTTCAGAACGCAGTACGGGAATCTTTGGGTGTCATAGGCATATGTAGGCATATCTGCGAATATGTGCAGGTTTCTCTACACGTCAACAAAAAATGCAACCCCCGCTTAAATACAAGCTTGGACCCCACAGTCCTCAACCAAAGCTTCCCACATACGTTAAATATTTGACCATCCCGGGTGAGCCTAGCCTAGCCTACCACGACTTCCCGCCGCAAGAATAAGAGCCCTGCGTTGGAAACAGCAGCACGTGCGAGTTTAACATGTCACCTACCCCTGGAACCTGTTAAATCTCAACCCAAGCTCCCTATTTTTGCGGACGTTTCGTTGGCTCTGAAATCCTCAACACAGCATCCATGCCGAAGCCTGTTGCACAGGCAGCCTGGCCGCAGATGGAGTGCGGCGAGGTATGCCAGGCCCGATGAGCAACGAAAGGTTGTGGGCAGCCGTTTCATGACGTTGCATGTCATTGCAAATTCTCTATCGCTGCATTGGCTATGCTGCAGTCAAGCGGTTCGGCAGTCGCCAGCTCACCGGCACTCGCCAAAAACTTTCTCTGGCGTTAAATGCTTTTAGGCCTTTAGGCACTGAACAGCACGTGTAGACTAGCACACGGTGATCAAGAGTGTTGCCAGAGGACACTAGATCCGACTGTGTCGGTGACTGTGGCCGCAGGTTGAAATCCTGAATGCCGCGACCATGCTCCCTCCAATGTTCAGCTGCGCCGCTGCATGCTGGCTGGTGGGGCCAAAGGTCCCTCGATGGGCACGGATAATCTAAAAGCCTGACCATTTGTCTAGATTATTCCTCATGGCTCCTTATTAAATATGTTGTAACTATAGTATATTTATATTATACCCCGAAACCCACTTCTAATTATTAAGTGCCAATATCTACTATAGCTGCAGTGGCCGGAGTCGCAGAAGCGCAGAGAACTTGCCATCCCAGGCGTGGTGGAGATCACATGCAGCAATTGCTTTGTTGTCTGGCCCTTCGGCGAAATATGCGGACCTTTGTGAAGTACATGCCGGCTTGCTGCAACTACCACACAGTGAACTTGAGACTTTAAATTGGCCCTTCATGTTTGGTCTCTATCTTGGAAAGTTTCACATGTTTTTGGGCCCGGTTATTGAAGAAGAGAGACTTTGAAGCAGCGACGATGTGTTCCTATTTGCACCGCCCCCAGTCCCGAAACAGGGCGAGATATAACAAAAAAAGCCGCTTGCCCACAAATCCACACTAAGACCGCAGTGTGCCCTGTTCCAGAGGCACACCTAAAATGGGGGGCTGATGGGAGCAAATTGTGCCTCGGATAGTTTTCGTGGTCCGGTTCTGAAGGCTGGTTCCTCATGGTTCCGGCGAGCACTGCTAGCCACCTCTACTGCGTGCCTGGGCGTGCAGATTACCAGTGTCACAGCCGAGACAGGTTGCTAGGAAGAGAACCCAATACCCCTTGAAGAAGGAATATAGCTGGGCCTTAATATTATGATTTAAGGTATCTTCCTTAAGGGGTATTGGGCTCTCTGGGGGTTGCTAGGAAGTTTGGGTGTCCTGCGGCTCGCGCCTTGCTGCGACCAGCTTTCGCGAGGCTTTCAATGGCCAGTACCTTCCCAAGCTTGAGCGGCTGGACCAAGCTTGCCGCTCCGCCTTTAACCTTGATCTACGATACATATTATATAATATGTAAAGAAGGAGAGAGAGAGAGAGAGAGAGAGAGAGAGAGAGTAGGGGAACTTCCCCTGCCCACAACCCTGACGAAAGAAAGAGAGAGTAGAGTAGAGTGGTTCGGTTTTAGTCTGTTGTGTTCGAGCTGCGATCCGGGTTGCTGCTGACGCCTCCAAAGCTCCACGAAACTTGGGGGGCCCTAAGAGCCGGGAGGCCTAGCATGCCCCTCTAACCCGAAGGAAGAAGAAGAGAGAGAGAGAGAGAGATAGAGAGAGAGAGAGCGAGAGAGAGAGATGACAGGACGCGGGACAGGACCAAGGCTTGCTGCATCCATGCATAAGCACTTGGGTGGAGGGGGCTGAGGGTTGTGGGTTTAGGGGTGTAGGGTTTAGGCTTAGGAGGCCTGGCTGGGGCTTTGGGGTTGCGGGTTTACGGGCTTTGGGGCGTGGTGGCGGGAAGACGCTGAAAGTCAGGCCCCCTTGAGCCTCCACAGGTCTTTACATACCATGGCATCAAGATCCCCCGATGAATCCACAGGTATATCCATCGCTTCTGTTTTGGCTGCTTGGGCTTTGTCACGGTCGAATCTGTTCACGGCGTTTGTGGGCAGCATTTGCATCAGCAGCTGGGCTTGCAGCGCCGGTTTCGGAACCGCTGAGGTTGAGGGGTAGCGTGGACAGAGCCTTTGCCATAGTTTCAGTGTCGTCTGTTTGGCTGAAGTGCTTGAGAAGTCAGGGAGTTCAAGACCGCTTTTCAGAGCGTTGGTGGATTCCAGCCAGCCTTGCCCAGCGGGCGATGTGAACAACTCCCAGGCCTTGACCTGCTGATGTTCGCAGGCCCAGAGGCATCGAGTACCGAGCATGAGTTATGAGAATGCCCTTGCGGGCCTTTGAAATGCCTAGACTTCACCGAGTGAAATGCAGGAGCTTCATCACCACGTGGCCTGGAGAACGGAGACCCTTGCATGCACCTTGGCTCTTAGAGAAGCTTCAGACAGGGCAGCGAAAGGCAGCGATCGACGTTTCTTTTCTGCAGGCGTCGTGCTCCTCTACCTGAGCCCGATGGTCTGGAGGCGTAACACATTCGACTTCAGCACCTCGTCCGTTTTCGGGCTTGGGTTGGAGGAGCCGTTTCCGCATACACAACCAAGAGAAAGTTACAGAAAAGACTACCCAGACCCCATGTAACGGTGCAAGACTTCCCGCGCGGTCGCAAAATAGCTTCCACACAGATGCGAGACTCATCTGTGTCCGGTATTTTAGGCAACCATTCACGAGAATTTACTCTCACTTCTGCCTGTTGTGAAAGAAGACGCTATGATGTAGAGTTTATGTGTGTGTGTATGTATATAAAAATGTGTTATTTTTATGAATATGTTTTTCATTTTCTTTATTTATATGTAAGATTTTTATTTACATTTATTTAAAGAGGGTATTTATGTATGTACAAAAATTGGTTCCAACATGATCTTCGCTAAGTTTGCCCTGCCCTTCCAGACACGAGGCATCATCCCGATTTGTTTGTGCTTTCTGTTCGGCTTGGCGATGGCAGTGCCGCTGCGCAGCAATAGTGGCAAGGATGTATTATAGGGCGGCGACAGGCGAGTCGGTAGCTTGAGAAACATGCATGAGCTGGTTGTTTCATCATGGGCAGGCGGCAGGTTCCACACTTGCTTCTTGCTTAAAAGGTGGGCTCCTCTGGGCCCACGCAGTCATCCTCTCTTCCACCTGGCGCTTATCCCTTTCAGCTGCCCGATCGGACTTGGAGCTTCTGTGTCTTTGGTGTGAGAGTGTTAGGGTTTCAGCAGAGCACCCCACGGAAACTGCCACCAAGCAGCATCGTGCTGTGGTAAAGGATGCTTCCGAATGATTCGCACGCAACATCCTGTTCGAGAGTAGAAGGCTCTAGGAGCACGGGTGACTGCCAAAACAGGCTTTGGTCCTGAGATGGTCAACGACGCATTAGCAGCGATCTATCCCTACAACAAGCACCGCAAGGAATAACGAATAATGCCTGCCTGCTCAGTTAGTGCTAGGTGAAGTCATTCTCCAACAAGTCTTGCTAATGCTCCGGCTACGACTTTGTTGCTCCCTCCGAGGGTTGGCCCTCAGTTTCTATAATGGTTGCGGCGGCAAAATAGAAACGTATGTATTCCTGAGGCTACTATACGCAACCTGGCTGCAACAGAAATGCGTCAGGCGACAAACATGCGCAGTTTTTGCGTCACACAAACACTGCTCATCGTGGTGCGACGGCAGCAGCCTGAGTGCCATCAAGGTCTCGCTCTGCGATGCTCTTTGAAAAATCTCACGAAGAGATGCGAGATTTCCTCATCACCACAAAGCATGAGGAAACGGCAGAGTGACAGCTGGCTACCATGGGTTCCTTGTCATCGACACATCAAGTTACGTGGCGGACGACCTTGAAAGTTGATTGGTATTCTGCAGTACTTAGCCAAAAAGTTGGCTTCCGTCGCGAGAGCTGTAGAGCTGCATCCCCAACATCGTTAAGAACGGACGCTGTGCAAAAGGTTCACTATGCATGTAAGACGTCACCTTTCCGTGTGGGCAGGAGAGCGACACGGACGAGAGCACCACTCTCAAAGCGGTGCCACGGCTCGATCTGATGGTTACATACTGAACTCGCCCAAGCATTCTACACGATTCCACAAACGATCACAAATGCTTGTGCTTGCGCTTATAGCAGCAGTGAAACACTGGATGCAAAATAAAGCGCTACACACGACTGAAGCAGCGATATTGAAAGCAAGCCTGTAAAGAGCACGTGCTCAAACCCTTGTACGGATACTAAAAGCGCACCTGTGTTTAGAAGCTCCCAGCAACTTTATGAATCGCACAGGCTTGGAGTTCTCTGTATGCCAAACCAGATGTAGTCCGGGTCGCGAGCACGCGAGTGATGCTGCGGTTTCCCGCCAAACTCCCAACGCCGATAGCTGTGAGCACTGTGACCCCAGAAGCCTTTAGTCACACAACAGCATAACACGAAACAGCCCCGCGATGCAAGCCACAAGCCGAAATCCAGATGAATCTTAGACATATGTCACGAAGGCCCATATTACGGATCTCGTTTGCAAAGTCTCTTATTGGTCTCAGGGTTTCTCCGAGCGCAGCTACTTAGTGGCAAAACCGCAATCAGCTGTCAAATTCAGTTTTTTCAACAAGAATGGTCAGCATGATCGGGAAGGTATTTTTTTATCGACGAGCAACAGAGAAGATCTTAAGTCCCAGAGGTGCCAATCGTACATGTTTGTAGCAATGTCATGATGCAACACAGCATGTGCAAAACATGCTCCACAGGCTGCGCGTCGTGCATTTGCAGGAGACTTCCGAAGGTGGAGATGCTGAGTGGGAGCTGTTCGAGAGCATGGAGAAGCCCTGAGATCGCCTCCGTTCGTTTGGCCTGTGAAATCCGACATGACAAGGCTACAAAATTTCTTGTGTGCACGCTGCCCAGATGTGCTAAGTAGCTGACCATTTCAACCCAGCGAGGGTTCCAGTTACGCACAAATCCCACATCTTCCAAATGAAGCTGCACCCTTCGGGCAACCATGTCCAGATGCCTCATGCAGAGCATACAGCAACGCCCCCCGGCGAGTTCTCGAATTTCAGCATGCCGAGTGGTGCAGCTCTTGGTGACTTGCGCAAGCTAGTGCCGCCTGGATCTTCGTGGTGCTTGGTACAACCCTAGGCAACTTCGTTGGCCGCAGTATTCGGCGGAGGTGTTCCAGGGCAGCGACAGATCCAGGGTATGTTTTCCCTTCATGAAAACGCCTCGATCCTGCAAATTAGCAGGTTCCCGGTGCAACAATTCGAAGTTCATGTTGCGCATGCATGCTGGGACTCCATGGTCACCCAGGCCCTGGCATTAGTTAGCCTGGTACGTTTTGCTTTACGGGCATCCTCGGCTGCAACTGCAGTCAGCATTGAGACACTAACACGTAACTATACTGGTTTGTGCACTTGAACTTTTCTGGTGGGGCAACGGTAGCACATCGACCATCCCAGAAATTGGCCTCATTGCCCGAAGCGCGCAGCCGCCCGCTTTGCTACCGCATCTCCTGGAACTTGGGAGCAACAGCAACCAACAGCTCAATCTTCAATTGAGACACATTCCCAGTTATCCCTTGTTTGAAGCAAGACGTCGACGTCCGGGAGGTTTGCATCTGCACGTGTCATCTTTTTTTGCGGTCAGAGCGGGGACGCAGGCTGCTGCCAATGAGCACAATGGTGTTTTGACACCTCCTGATCCAACACTCATAGCAAAGCTGGTGATGCTTGGTGCAAGGGGAGTTCATTCTTACATGCTGCAGGATTGTATTAGCAAAGATTCCAATGTGTTTCGCGGTGGTTGATTCCTGAGAGCCCAGACTGCTGCAACAGGTGTGCAACAGGACTTCAGATGCAGTCGGGGTGCCCGAAGGCTGTTTTTTGGAACGTTCCCAACATGCCCCGTACTGTCACATATTGATTTGTCTCGTAGCGAACACCTTGCTTTTTGTGGTTATTGACAGTCTTGTGACAAATCCTTTGCTAAATGTGGCTCTCCGTGCACATAGGCCATGAAGGTCCACAGACTCTGAAGACTAACACTTCCAGATCGGTGTGGCCTTCTATGCTCTTACGTCTGTCATGCTCAACAATGATGCATTCTGCCATGTTGCAGCTCTAAAGTCTGAACATCGTGTCTGTTCTGAGAGGTCTTAACCCCCTGCTTGAGCTTGAAAATCTAACGGTTAATAAAACCGCACAAAAACGCCACCAGAAACTCTATTTCTAGCCGCGGAAGACATTGAAGGAAATTGTCCGTTGCTGTTTCACCTGAGCCCCTCAAAGGAGGCACGAGGCAGCACATCTAGACTGGTTGCACATCACGACTGCACGCTGCACGCTTGCAAAGTCTGAGACGAGAAGGTGAACATAGCAGTTGCTTCTCGGATGTTAGCTTGTTTGTCAGACGAGCTGCAGCTTGAACGTGAACCACAGCTGGAATCCACGCCATGCATGTAGCGAGGACTACAGTCTGCCATATAGCCATGCGTGGAGGATAACTGTCAGCGCGGCTGCTCGATGTTCGCATGCTGAGTAATCGTAATCGTGGCTATCCTTTCTCCTGAACTCGTGCAGCGACAGCCGCCGGTAAGTCAGCCTTCAGGACAAGTCCAGCTTGTGATCCGAAGTTTTAAAACTATGTAGCTTAAAGACTCTAGAACGATACCGCGACTGCAGAAAAGGTGCACGGTCAGTGCTTTCCATCGTCATGTACACACTCCACAGCCGCGGTGTACACGAGAGCAGAAGTGAATAACTTCTTGAAGCTTTTCGGCTCCAGGCCTTGATGCTCGCTTGGGTTGCCATCATCCTGATTGAGATCTTCAAAGTCCCTGAATGTGAGTACCCTTGCCATCACGAGTAGTAACCAGTTCGCAGCAACGTTTGCGACAAAGAATCTTCATGGCAGCCCATAGACATACAATGGTCCTGGCGAAAGCCAGCAGGTGGCACAGCAGCAGCAGCAGCAGCTGCAGCATCTGCAGCACCAGCGATAATGGGAATGAGCATGGCAGATGAACTTGCTAGCTACTCACATCATCTTCGCTTAGAAATTCAGCACACAACATGTCGCACATCACAATGTAATGGGTTTCTGCTAACCAGCACGGGGCACGCATGTCGTAACAATGAATGGAACAGATGTTTTTCATGTGTAGCTTTTCACTTGTATGGCATGACTGGTCTGAGCTCATGGTGGGCATCGTCCACCACCTCCCGGCGCCATGGGACGATACTAGCGCTCTGCCTTCATAACCATATTCCAAAATACTCGAAAGATGTCTAAATCACCTGGGACATGTTAGCTGTCTCAAGGTCCGGGAGCTTTCGGCTGGTGCAGATGTGGACAAGGCTCTGGTTGAGACTTTCAAGGCATGCAGAAGAGCTCCATAAGGAAATCCCTGAGCACTTGCAATCTCGATCGCTGTGAGAGAGTCGTTGTGGCAAGTGATCGCAACATGTCGCAACGCGCGAAGTTGGGGCTCCAAGCACATGCTGACGCAGTTAAAGCCACTTCCCTTGTGCAGTTGGGCTTCTGCGTCCCATCGCTACCCCCGCAGCCGGTGGTCGTGAAACGCGTGGAGCCGCGAAGCTGGGCCGCGTCGCAGGAGCGACATGGGGCCATAGGGTCCCCCGGACGAAATACGGCTATCCGCTATGAGACGTCACGATTTGCCAAGCGTCGAACGACTAATGCGCCTGTGTTCGATTCCTCATGGCATTCTCAAGTTCAGCTTGGTCATATGCGCCGGCTCGCATCTCAGGCCACGCATCAAGAAAGTTCAAACTAATCGACAGCGAGAGCAGAGAAACACTAAAGGCTCGCATTTGCATCGTGATCGGCTGTGAGGCATATCGGTGCCACGGGTTGCCGCAGTCACACAAGCACAGGAGTGTCAGCAGAGGTGGTAGTAATCGTAGGTATTGCTGGCATCCATGCTCGTATCAAAACGATTACTGAGTGCTTGCCAAGGCTATCAGCAGCATGGTCTGTACAGACAAAGAAGAACATCGTGCCAGCTAAGGCAGCACTAGCACTGATCGAATAGGCACCTTCCTCTCCCAGAAAAGACACATCTTCCATGAGCAGCAGTCGATCGGAGTCCATGTCATGATTGACCTTCGCACCGCCCAAACTCTTCTGGCTTTCCGCTGCTTATTGGCAAGTTGCGGAGGAGCTGCGCGCAGGCGATGTGCTCATACAGCTGACTCTTTCCTGCACAGCCATAAGACAACTTCATGCCCCCCTTTGTCGTTTCATCCAATTTCTGGACAGGCACAATTTTTCGCTAAACAGGGTCGGCACTTGTGCTGGAGTCTATCTCGTCTTGGCCTGGTTGCTTTACGGTTGCTTCTCGGCTGTATGTTGCGGGCTTCCTGTTCATTTTGGTAAAGCCTCAGAAGTCGCAGCCGGTTTAGGCATTGCAAGATGTCCCGGCCAAGAGAGCCCTTTGCATCAAGCCGCTAGCCTTCTCTTGCAATCTCCCACTGAGCCCAGGAATGACGTGCCCACTGGCGGCTCTGCTGTGTTGAAGCCATGCACATGCCGAGATGTTGCAAGTAGTACTGTTGTGGTTGTGACTGTGGTTGTGGTATGTTGTGGTGGTTGTTGTTGCTGCGGGCTGAGGCTGGCCATTGCTGCCGCTGGCATTTTGAAGTACTTATTACTGGTTTTCTTGGTGTTGTCATTGGGTTGTTGCTGCTCTTGCTCTTGCTGTTGTTGTTGTGTAACTCTTCCTGTTCTTGGCTGTTGTTAACCTGCTGCTGCTGCTGGTGACGGCGGGGTGCTGGTGCTGGTGCTGGTCGTGGCGGTGGCGGCGGCAGTGGACTGTCTTGACCACGGACTGTGTTGTTGGTGGTCTCTGTTGTCTAGTGAGTCTCATGGAGATGTTAGGGGGAGGTCGGGGGAAGTGGGGGAGCCAGAGCGGCCTCAGTCAGGTGGAGATGCCTGCTTGGAGGATGTCGAGGGTTTGTGTTGGGCCGGTGTTCGAGCCCGCGCGACATAGAGGCCGTCGAGGTCCAAGTGCTTAGCGAGCACTCAGTGGGCGCTAGCACTCAGTGGGCGCTTAGCAAGGGCTTAGTAAGCTCGAAGCTTTTGCAGCGAATGCCCGGGCAACATATCCCCGATTCCATGGATCCATTAAAGCACGCAGCGAACTTGCGTGCACCGGTTATGAAGGCATCAAGGGCTTACAAAGCACTCGCTAAGTTCCGAGCTCGTACAAGGCACTTGCTGAGCCTACTCGGGCTCCCCCGCACCCGCTCGTGATAGTCTGGTCTTTCTGTTGTTGCCGGTTGTTGTTGATATTGGTGTTGTCCGCTCCCTTAGTGGGACTGTACTTGGTCTTGTCTTCGTTGCAAGGCTAGCGGCCGCTAGTACTAGTAGGAGCTGCTTTGAGTGGAAGTTGGAACAACTCTGGTTGGAGGCTTCATGCAATATTTGATTATTTGGAGTTGTAATTGCAGCTGCAGAGTTTAACTGCTTTTGCTTGGCTGGGCACTAGTTTGCCGTTCCATCTCGTGAGAGCAATACTGATGGCAATTTTTGAAAGGAGCGAAAAAAGTTTCCAAATGCTTCCAAGCATGGCAATGACAACAGCTCGTGTCAGAAGCCAATCAGGCGAGATGTCCAGCCAGCATTTCCTTGAGTCGATGACGACCCGGCCCTTGAATTTCAAGTTCGTGGTTAATCCGCTCCTTGGACCAAACTGGCGGAAATTCTGGCTCAAGCAAAATCAAGATATCACCTGCGGGAGCGTGAGCATGCTCAAGTCGAAAGAAGCGGGTTTGCGACTCACGCTGCCCTGCCGAAAGACCTGGTGAGGTACTTGTAGTGTAAGTCGCGGATGGAGACTGAAATCTGCGCTATTTCAAGCAGTTTCTGGCATCCGGCGGAGCGGCATGCCTCCGGGAAACGGGAAACTTGAGACCAGGTTGAGATCCTCCCGCTCGCAGATGCGTGGCGGTGAGGAGGACAGCGGCTTGATTGCAAGATATGCAAGTAGAGTCTACCATGGTTTATGGATGTTTACGGCTGGCACATGAAATCAATCGCTTCATGAACTCAACGCGGACGACAGCCGTCCGAATGAGCCCCATTGTCTTACATGCTGTTGCAATGACAAAGATTCGATGCCAGGTGAAAGCGACGACGCCGCAAAAAGCGACGCCGTCGAGGTAGGGGAGGTTGAGTCATACGGTTTGCTGCTAGGGCCTGGCACAGCAGAGGCACGGGACTCAAGGGCCTGAGACTGATTCTGCCAGGACGAGGGCGACAACGAAGAGGCACCTTGGTGCTACAAGGTTCTGCAGCAAAGTGTCACCGCACCCCTCTCAGTACCTACCGAACTTCTATCTATAAACCTGCCTACCTATGTATCTCTACATACATGTATGTTTATTTCTATCTGTATTTGATATACATACGTACATACACACACATACACATATACATACGTACATGCATACATTCATTCATTCATTCGTACATTCATATATACATATATACTTATATGCATACATATGTAAACCTGTATGTGTATATATATATATATACATGTCTCTCTCTCTCTCTCTCTCTCGCTCTCTCTCTAACCATCCCAACGCATGGCCGGTGAGAGTCTTGTGCTGCTCAGACAAGGAGTCACCCACCCCGCGATCTGCCGAAAAATGCCGGCGGAGCGTTTCCGATTGGTATGCAGAGGAGGACACGAATTGCAGATCTGTGTAATTCTTGTGGTTACGATTGTACTATTGCTATTACAACTGTTCTTACTACGAGTGCACCAGTTTATACCATTCTTCACAAGCAGAAAGGTGTGGAATTTGCAGGTTTGGGGACAAGGTTACACAGGTTCGTGACAACGTTAGCCCGAAAGTATGCATTCAGAGCGAGTTGCATCCTTCTCATGGACTGCAGGTGTACTGCAGGATAAGATTTCTTGCAGGCACCTGTCAATCTGAGCCCATCTTGTATTATCAAGGGCAGCTGGTGGCACCTCTGCTTAAAGCTCTAGACTCTAGACTCTACACTACATGTTCCGAACATGCCAGCGCAGGAAATTATTCCTGATGACAACCGCAAGAAGAGCCTGACAAGTTGGTACCTCGACGGAGCTCGCCTCTTTCATGCACTTCAGGCAGAGGGAGTGGAAAATCTTCACTTTGCCTGCCAGTACATACCGTTCTGCCTCGAGGAATGCCCGACACCACGAGTCAGCTGACTGCTGTCCATCGGATGTCGCTATCTGGAGCTGAGCAGCCGTTGGAGATAGGTCCCGGCAACTGCAAAACGGAACCCTCAGTTGAGTTAATGCAGAGTTCTGGTATGCCTGCGAGGGGAAGCCGCTGAGCTGAGACATGTGCTCCAGGCTGCTTTGTGTCCTGGAAGCATTTTTGGGTAGAGACCGCCCCAAGATGTCTTACAAAACCCCAAAAATGATGTCCTATAAGCTCCTAGATGTCCAAGATGTCGAAGAATCTCAGCAACTCGCCCCAAGGTCTGAGGAGAACCTCGATGCCCTGCTTCTTGTCATCGCCCGGGCGCAGTCCCAAGGCCGAGACCATGCATCATTCATACTTAGAATAGGGTTTTTCCGTATGCTAGACTAAGTACTCATTGTTATGATTACTATTACTACTATAGTTCTATACATGTAAGGCTAGAAGGAGACAGTATTCGGGTTTATAAGTGCTCGTTTCTCCGAGCCGTGTAGTTCTTGCCCGGTATGCTTCCGTGAGGAATCATTGCCGATGTCTTGGAGGTGGCACAGTGCAAAGCACAGGCCTGGGGGAGTCGAAATCCAGGCAGTGAGCCTGATTCCTTGATGACGGTCCGAGTAGAGCATTCTTGGAGTGTGTTCCTCCATGCCGTTTCCAAGTTCCGGCTTCGCTTTGCTTTAGAAAACTGCCAAGAAAAGCACTCTGAATCGAAGATTACTTTACACCATGGCGGCATGCACAGATCTGGACCGGATTGACATGGACAGAACACTGACAGAACTACAGACACCTCTATGCCATAAACGCCGGATAGCTCTAAGCAGCTCATCAGAAGATCTTCGTGGTTCGTTAGCGATATGGACCAAGATGCTGTCAAAGCGCAGGCCACGACACTTTCCATACCTAGTACATCGCCTGTGGGACAGCAGAGATCGCTTCGTACTGTATCGCGACCCGAGCTGTTTCGCGGGGTCCCGTTACACGTGGCTTTGTCCAACTGGGGCCGACATTGGAGGGCCCCTGATCAAGGCATGTTCAATGTGGATCCCAAGAACTACCAGCTCAGCCGGCCCACGAAAGCCTACGACGCATTCCTCAGCCACGAGTGGGCTTCATCCCGCTGGCTGAAGTTCCTATCCCTGCTCATGATTTTCAACTCTGGGCCTGCCTTCACCATCTCATTCCTGGTGAGCGTGTTGGTGGGCACACTGCGAGCATGTAGAGTGATCCCAGACCAGACATGGACAGTGTCGATTGTCTATGCGGTCTACTTGACTATCTTTTTGTTCTGGCAGCGCATACGGGCCATCTTCTGTCGACCCCTCGTGGTTTTCTTGGACAAGCTTTGCGTGGCACAGCACGACGAGGAGTTGAAGCAGGAGGGCATTCAGAGTCTTGGTGCCTTCCTTCTAAGCTCCCGGGAGCTGGTTGTGCTGCTTAGCCCTCAGTACCTGTCGCTTGGTCTTTGTGAATGGTCCTTTTACATATTCTTGTTTGGGTTCCTACCGAAAACGCAGCCCGCTCCTTCGGGAGCTGGTGGCGCCAGGGTGTCTAACCGCTTCGTCTACGTATGCACAGGTTGACATCTTATAGTAACTTGAGTGAACATAGAGACCAAGGTCACGCCTCTGGTGCGTGTTCGAAATCTCCACGTTTCTGCGAGATAGGGCTTCCTTGAACAGACTCCGGATCATTCCTCAGAACACAACCCTGCTGCTGCTGATGGTGGCTGGCTGCTGGCACCTGTTGGCAAGCTATTACTTTTCTCTGATCAGGTATGGTGTGCTTAGCAGCTGGGGAGGCGCCGCTACCAGTGGGTTGACCATCACAGCGGCCATGTTGGGTTTCTGTTCTTTGCTGGTGCCGCTGTCCTTCTATGTTGGCATAGGGCTGATGTCTGAGCTTCAGGAGGTACCACGGCAACTCGCGAGCTTTCGCATCCAGGATTCGAAGTGTTACTGTTGTAGTCACTCGCACGTGCACCCTCGCACCGGTGAGCCACTCCCATGTGACCGCCAGCTCGTTTACGAAGCCATCCAAGATTGGTGGGTGGCTGAGACAGAAGACGGGTCTGATCCGCATTTGGAGAGGTTCAACGCATCAGTCCGTCAGCGTGTGGCCCCCAAAATCGCGAACGGAATGGGAATCGGCTTGCCATTTCAACATGTTGTTTGCATGGCCGTCTTTTGCATTGTGCCTTGGTTGGCAGACTTCATCGCTCTTTTGGCCGAGACGATTGACCGCCGTCCTGTCATCTCTATCTGGAGCCTAAGACACTTTGTCACATGGGGCATCGTAGGTTTGGCCCTGCTCTTCTCACTGAGGGTCAGCATTCCACTCTGGATTTTAGGCTCCTCGATAGAGAAGCGATTTTCCTCTCGCTGGTTCGCCGTCTTCATTGTCTCGCCACTCTCTTTTCTGGCTGTTTGCTCACTGTGGCTGCCGCTGGGATTTAGCCTGGCAGCGACACACGAAGACAACCCTCTGCCAGTGATCATTTTCGGTTCCGGCGCAGCACTCACGGCCTTCCTCTGGCACTTCAAGCGAAAGCCACAGCCATCCCTGCAGCCATCACAGCTCTCGACTTCTCGACGCAGGGATGATGACAACACTTTCTCAATTTAGCTGCCAACTGCAGTGTCACATCACTGCATACACAAGAACGAAAGGATGCAATGAGTCTCAGTGCCTCATGCATGTTTTAGACTTGCCAAGACCGGGGCTCGCCTATCCCATCTTAGTATACAATACTGCTCCTGCGGCTAGGCCGTTGCGCGGTATACAATTATGATAAAGGATGCTTGTACAGACTGACACGATGGCGAAGCGGCAGGCGTGCCATGTGCTGGCGGCGCTGTATGGGCATTTCTCACGGCTTATGGCTGTTCTCCAGAGGGCTTTAATTTCGGGCAAGACTCGTAGACTTGCCTCCGTTGATTGTGTGTGTGTGTGAGCCTGACGCCGGGTCTGGTGATAAAGGCTGCGGCCTGCCTAGCATCGCCCTATTGGCATCATAGCAAGTGCTACTGTCCGTTCCCGTACATGTGATGAGCATCCCAGACCACAGGCACGCCTTTTCTCCTTCAGGCATCAAGGGCACGAGGTACGAAGATCCTCTCCATAGAATCCCTCTAACGAAGGGGTTTTTTCGAAGCTGGCCAAGCCATCTTCGGCTCACGGTATGTCTTAGTGCATTGCCAGCCGCATTTCATTTTGTTGTTGCAATTCCTGCTGCTAGCATTGCTATTGCTTGCACCATGTCTAGCCGTGCTTTGTGTTTTTTCCTTCCTTCTCTCTCTATATATATATATGTGGCCACAGCCATCAAAGCGCTCGACTTCCACTCGAAGCAGGGATGATGACAACAGTTTCACGTATTAATGACCTATTGCAGTGTCATCTTATGCATGGGCATGAGTCTCAGTGCCTCATGCAGTGTTTTGAATCTTGGCAAGGCCAGGCCGTGATGGGCGTCGCCTGTGGTGTCTAGCATGCAATGTTGCTCCTGCGGCAAGGCCGCTGCGAGGCCGCAGCGGGGTTTGTGATTAGGTATATGACAAATACATGGGCACATTGGGTATGCTATTCGGTATGTTGGTGATCCTGCACCTAGCATCCCTTCCCATACCTGTGCTGATCACCCCACACATGAGACACGCCCTTTACATTTTGGCATCGATGGTGCGAGCGGGGAAGATCCTCTCCGCAAAATCCTTCTGACGCAGGGCTTTGTCGAAGTTGGCCAAGCCATCTTCGGGAGAACCTGCCCAGTGCAGGCACACATGCAATCTTAGTACACTGCCAGCCGCATTTCATTTCTGTTGCTGCCATCCATGCTGCAAACATTGCTACTGTTTCCACCATGTCTAGCCGTGCTTACGTTCGTTCTTTTCCAGAGAGAGGAGCATGATATCTTCGGGCAGCAGGATTTGGGCAAAGCCCTTCCATCATCTTCAAGCAAAGCACATGCAGGCGTTGGCTTTGCGATGAGGACGAGGATCTTTGGCTTGAAGACTCAAGCTTCAAGGTCGTGGTGCCTTTTTTGCTTATCGAAACGAATATCCGGTTTTCCTCTGAGTGAGTGTCGAAGAGTGTCGATAGCCTGAACCCTCGAAGTCCTACGTAGTGCGACATGGAACGTGTGAGGGGATCCAGTGCCGAACTTGCTCAGTGTCAACCCGCCGTGGGTCTTTGTTCTGCTGAGTTGGCTGGTCCTGGAAGGCAGGTGCTCGCCGGAGCGGCAGATCTCCAAGAGATCCTTAGTGTGAAGTACACGAGAAGGAGGGCCCATGGCTCAGCCAGAGCGCAGACGTTTGCAGGATGAAGAGGGCCGGTTTAACAAGAAAAGAGCTTGCATAAGAGTCGATGCGGCAAGCCTTCCATCCTGAAATAGACTGAAGCTTGCATAGAAGTCTGGTCTGACAGATACTGGATTCTGGTTGTTACTTGCGTTTGGTAGACCTGGCTTGAGTCCTTTCCCAACGTCACTCGATGACTATGTGCCAACGAAACATTCGCAGCGCCTCGCGCCTGGAGCGCCCGAGTTGCGAGAGTCGAAGGCAGGTTGCAAACCTCGAAGCTCTCACACACACACACACACACACGCACGCGAAAGCCACAGGAAGTTGCTATGCTGGCCAGCTGCTACAATCATGGTTGTTTTCAGCACTTCTCTTGCCATAGCTAGTCTTGTGCATTGCTCTTCCATACAGCTCCTGCGCACTACCGTTTTGACCATGATGATCTGCTCCAGTACACCCTTCAAAGCCCTATACACCCCCAATGTACAGTTATACAACGCAACCCTAGAAAGCCCTCGTATAAGGCCCCATGAAACCCCTTTGATTTTTTAACGTACGACTATTCTAAGACGTTACTATGATTGTAGCATATCATATCATATCATAGTTTATCCGACTAGTCTAATTCTGCTATACGATCTTATACTATGCTGTATGCCAGATTATCTTACATTGTGTTCTACTGTACTACAATGTTACTACAACTAGTAGTATTGTTATTAATTTTTTGCGATTAATAATAACAAGTATTACTATTACTATGATTATTATTATTGTTATTATCATTATGATGATTCATATTCTTGTTATTATGATTATTCTTATGACCATTGCACAAGAAAGCCCTTCGGAGGAGCTCCAGAGCAGACTTTTGGAGTCGGCGACGCGGGCGGAGTTCTGAGGTTTCCGGGGCCCTCGGATCGGAGTCTCCGATACCCTGGAAGGAGGAGGTTTAGGGTTTTGGGTTAAGTTTAGGGTTTTGGGTTTAGGGGTTTAGGGTTTAGGGGTTTAGGGTTTAAGGTTTAGGGGTTTAGGGGTTGAGGGTTTAGGGTTCAGGAGTTGAGGGCTTAGGGTTCAGGGGTTGAGGGCTTAAGTTTAGGGGTTGAGGGCTTCGGGTTTAGGGGAGGAGAGAACTTGTAATATTAGAGTAGCTATAGTGGATCATTGTGATATGTTATAGCAGATGGCCTGCTAGTGATGTAACTATGGTACATCACTGTCGTATTCAGTATGTGTGTAGTCAATTATACGAATTTTACATCTTTTAGCGGCTTAGAGTGATTTAGTTGCTCCGCGTCTTCCTTGCAGTTACTAGTTACTATTTGTCCCGGCGTGGTTTGCTGTGGAAGTAAGCTGCTCTGTTGACATGTCACTTCTCGTGCTAAATCTTGGCATCAGCATGGGTTCAAAAAAAGGTCGTAGAGTTTATAGGGAGCAAGAATCGCCATCGAGTAGTAATTGTATTTTGAAGCGATGCTTACTTGTTCACTCTTCCTCTCGACTTCTAGGGCCGCAGAATTTTCGATCCTCTGAGGTAGGTTCGCGCAGGTGCAGAGGACTGGCATCATGCTACACTGCTACAAGATGTGATCAGATGTGTTGGCGGTCTTCCGAGCCTGTCTGAACTGTGCAAAATGCACACAGGTTCCGAGGCCGCACGTGCAGACTCTCAACCCGTCGGTCAAGATCGAAAAAGCACTGGGTCTGTCGCACGGTTCACGGATGTTTGGTGCGTTTTCCTGCAGCTTCGACGAAGCCTGGTTCAGCCTGAGTGCATGCTCTGATTTGCTCTGTGCATGGATTGCTCGAAAACAGCGCATCACACCGCGAGACGGCTTCAATAAAGCATGAGAGACTTGTTGAAAAGGTTTAGCAATGACTTAGTCATTTGGTTATTTCTTCACAGGGCATGACACCGGATCTACGATTGCCCACAATGGCCAACAAGCAGAGAAGTTGGAGCATGGAGAGCAGTGCTTAGGAAGGTGTCGAACAAGCCTGCAGCAGCCCTGGCAGCAGCCTTAAAATGGCTTCGGGCTCAGAGTTTAGGGTTTAGGGACGCGCTTACTTCGGATTACTTGCGAGACATCTTGGGAGGATCTCTCCCAGACGCAACCGTCAGAGCACAAAAGTCCAAACCAACGGAAAGGGAGCTCGACATCGAAGGCTTCCAAGACCAATTCTGACTGCATCCACCGCTCTCGAAGTGTTCTTCCAAGGGACATCTACCAGGGCAAGTCGTGAGTTCTGAGTTCACCACTGTGCAGCGGGACCACTTAAGGCTCCGGTGGACGGCGAACTGGAGCGCCGGCCTGTTCGCGACTCAGACTGTTCGGACCTGGGAATGATGAGGTGGAAATCCGTGGAATTGATGCGGCCATAGACTGGAGATCGGACAAGCACGAAGGAACCCGTGTCCTGTCGGCGTCATGTCTCTTCAGGTCTGAGTCTGCCAAGTGCATTTTGGCTTGTACAGGGCCCGTGCCTGGATCAATGCTAAACTCAACAGGTTTAGAACAGCTTTGCAGTGGACAGAACGACAGGAAGCTTTATGCCCTAAAGTCGGGGAGTTCTAAGGGCACGGAGCAGGCTGTGAAGCACCTCTCGTTAGCGCTATGGACGAAGATGCTGTCAAAACGCAGTCCACGACGCGTTCCATACCTAGTACATCGCTTGTGGGACAGCAGAGATCGCTTCGTACTGTAGCACGACCCGAGATGCTTCGCGGGGTCCCGTTACACGTGGCTTTGTCCAACTGGGGCCGACATTGGAGGGCCCCTGATCAAGGCATGTTCAATGTGGATCCCAAGAACTACCAGCTCAGCCGGCCCACGAAAGCCTACGACGCATTCCTCAGCCACGAGTGGGCTTCATCCCGCTGGCTGAAGTTCCTATCCCTGCTCATGATTTTCAACTCTGGGCCTGCCTTCACCATCTCATTCCTGGTGAGCGTGTTGGTGGGCACACTGCGAGCATGTAGAGTGATCCCAGACAAGACATGGACATTGTCGATTGTCTATGCGGTCTACTTTACTATCTTTTTGTTCTGGCAGCGCATACGGGCCATCTTCTGTCGACCCATCGTAGTCTTCTTGGACAAGCTTTGCGTGCCACAGCACGACGAGGAGTTGAAGCAGGAGGGCATTCAGAGTCTTGGTGCCTTCCTTCTGAGCTCCCGGGAGCTGGTTGTGCTGCTTAGCCCTCAGTACCTGTCGCTTGGTCTTTGTGAATGATCCTTTTACATATTCTTGTTTGGGTTTCCTACCGTTCTAAAACACAGCCCATGCAAAGACCATTTGCACTTTCCTTCCCTCCTAACAGGGA